TATGGGTGTGACTTGAATTCAATCCGGATTATGTCATCACTCATTGGGACCACATGACCCGAATAATTGCTAGGTCCACTATTTGTATTTGGGATATTTTGTCCCGGTTTGATTCTTTTCATACCCTTGTATATATTGGATTATTTTGGGATTTTAGGTTTGATGGTCTTTTGGAGATCTTATGTAAGAGATGGTTGTGTTGAAAGAGCCGGCTCATTGTAATCTTTATATTTATAGTGAAACTCACTCATCACTCTTCACCCATGGAAGTAGACTTATAGCCAAACCACATAAATCATTTGTGTGCTTGTGTGTTTATTTCCTGTTTATTATTTCTTGATTTCTGTTTTTTCCATAAAAAACACCATTTTTTAATAGGACATTTTATTGTTTGGCTTATTATGAAAAGAAAAAGTCAAACCTGATAGAGAAAGAGGGTTAAAATGATAAGAAAAATCATAAATCAGTCCTGACTTTGGGCAAGAAAGAAAGAGTGGAACAAATGAGGAAGAATGCAGTATGCATAAAGACTTTCTTTTTCAATTTTATTTTTCCCAATGCAAAATCAAGATAACACATTGGAGTGAGCATTCTACAAGACGACCCTGAATTTCTGAAAGAATGGGAGGCCAACAACCAACATTGACATATTTGCTTTGTTTTACTTTTTATTTACTTATTTATTTATTTTATTGGCACTGGGGTGTCCAGATCAAAGCCCAACTAATCCCCAGGGGTGCACAGGCCCTCAGCAATGAGTTTCCCGCAAGTGCACCACATTTAATTCAAAGGTTTTTCTCCCAGTCCGATGGCCCCAAAGAATTGCTAACTCCTAAGAGGTTTTGATCCTTGAACCTTGGAGGGAGCACACCCCCAAGACCTTACCACTAGGCCTACTCCTTGGGGTTACTTTTCTTATTTTTATTTTTGAAGTTCTTTTGCCCAACAAAGCTGTCAGACTCACAGAACAAAAGTAGGCATAAGGAGTCTATGTTGTTTGATAAGTATATAAAATAGAGTCAATGATACAATCAACACAATGGTACAAAAAAGAATTGAATTATTGGCACATTTTAACACTATGAGCACCATATAGTCCTCTCAAATACAATGAAAAACATGATTCCCCTAATTCAATTTCTAGAGGATGCATAACACTTCAGTCAAGCATTGCTTTCTGAGGATCCCTGAATTCTAAATAACACGACATTCATGTAAACAGGCAACTGCAGATGACAGTTATTCAAAGGGAACTTCTAAGCAGACTCACACAATTTGTTTTTACACCCACCAGATGCATTGAGATCCTTCCGCCTTACGAAAGAAATTCATGTACAGTTGGTGTAGAGAGATGCTTTCGGTGTATTTTCCATCTCCCTTATTCAATGGGGTAAAACTTGCAAGTGTAGAAAAATGTAGAAATGGGAAAGGACATGGATGGTCTAGTCTATTGCTTATTGAGGTGAAGTAAGGCAAATAAGCGATTATTAACCCAAGGTGCCCAAATACAACATGTTCACTTTTTCTCCAGAAAAAATGCAAACCTACCCAGAAATGTACTTACAGTGCATGCATATATGGCATAAAACAAGAGCCAAAAGATGACAATACAAAGTGAAACAAGAGTAGGAAAAAAATATATTAAACAAAGGTGGCATGTAAAAATAATGTAAAAATAGCAGTAAGCTAATGTAGAATCACACGCAACCGGAGACAAAGATGCTCACCTCAAAGTTAAACTTCCTCCTAATCCCTGTCTAGTAAAATCCCATTAATGCTCCAACTGAGGTGGTGAAAGCAACGCCCAGGAATAGAAAGCAACTTCTTTTCAATACAATGCAATGGAGAAGTGCAGTAGCAGCTAGAATGAATACATGATCCTGCAAAATTAAAATGAGAAATGAATATTAATGTCACGCCCTCAAAATAATACATAAAATCCATCTCTTTAGACATGCATTGATACAAAGAAACCAACCATCTTTCCATTAATCAGAGTAGTTCTTACAAAAGTATTACATGTTAACAACAAAAGCAAATGCCCTACGGGCTTACAGCTTTCCAAGTTAACACTTGGTTACAAAGAGAAGAGTGCTAACTCAATACATATTAAGCCCTTGGCTTGAATTTACATGTAATACATCAAAAGAAAGCAAACAACAAAAGCAGTCTGTCTGCCTCTAGTCTCCCAGGCTATGTCCTTGGAGGTGGCATGCTACCTGTACCTGAAAATGATGTCCCATAAAGGGTGAGCCACAGCCCAGCAGAAATACGCTAAACCAGCTATGAACAATGACTAAAAGATTAGCAGTTGATAGATGGTCAACACCGATACACTCACTTATATCACATTCTGGTTTCATGACATTTAAGTCCATGTTACATTTCATTTCTCATTTCTTTTTCAACTTTGAGTTTGAAAACAAGGCTCAAAACTTAGCCAAATGCCTTGATAAGAATAAGACTCATCTTTTAAAACACTTTCAAAATTCATGATGGATACACATTTTGATGCTGTGTCAATAACACATAACCCACTTCCATACTATACGAACGATACACATTTTGGTACTGTATCAACATAACATAGAAACACCTCTATACTTCACAATTGATAACGATATACATTTTAGTACTATATCAAATCAATTTAAACACTTCCAAAATCAACACTTGATACACATTGTAGTGCTGTATCAATGTCACACGAAATCCGATTTAGAGGTCCATCCCCCATCTTCCAATAAACCGTGGAGTACATCTCCCATCTCCTCCCACACAATACAATGTATAGAAATAATTATCATATACGAATTCAATCAACCAATACACATTTTAGTGCTGTATTGTACTGACCACCATATTCAATGGCTTACTTAATTGATTAGTTTTAGTTTGCCTAATCATCATGCATTGTCTACAACAATCAAGACTATCCTCCACCGATAGCCCAAAGCAGTTATTTCTAAACCGAAAATAAATGCACCAAATGGATATATTATCAACATTCAACCTGAGTGAGCGATTAAATGAATCCAACCACACCCGTTAATCCCATAATCTTTTCAATTTGAATACTCTCAATTCAATTCTTCATTTCTCAAAATTAATTATACAAATTAATTTATCCAACTAATTAGGGCATTTTCCCATAATTAACATAACAACCCTAAGGTTCCACTTTCATCCATAGCTCACCATCAATATCATTTCTCTATGCCAAGCATGCCTATAAGTTTAATTATAAATAAAACCCCATCTTTTGTAAAATTACACAAAGACCCAAACTTTCTCAAAATTACCCAACAACCCCCAACATGTCAAAATGCTAAAATTTAAAGACAAAGCTCATAAAGAGGAGTAGGGTATCCCTACCTCGAAGTTAGAGCTCAAACGGGGAAGTTGAAGAAAGTGAAAATGCTCCAAACACCACGATTCTCGGATCAAAACGAAGCCCTCGACGATCAACACACTTTTTACAAAAGCCGGAGGATAGGGAGACACTCTAACTAGATTAAACCCTAGAGAGAAGGGAGATCCTAAAGAGAGAGGCTCTCAAAAACGTTTTTGGGAAAGTAAGAGAGAGAGTGGAAGTGTAGAAAATGATTCAAATATGCCCAGCTGCCCTCTGTTATACGACATTCCCGCTCGAGCGGAAAACACAACGCTCGAGCGTCAAGAATAAAAAAAACTATGTCCGCTCGAGCGCAAGAAGGCCCGCTCGAGCTCCAAGACACAAGGATAAAGTACATCCGCTCGAGCGCGAAAACCAGTCCGCTCGAGTGTAGATTTCCATCTCCCAAAACTTTCACCAACGAGGTACTACCCGCCCGAGCACCAACAAGTCCGCTCGAGCGCAAGAAACCCGCTTGAGCGTAGAAAACACACCTGCAGAAGTTTTGCAAGGACTCGAAATGCTGGAAGGGTGTAAACCCCGCTCGAGCACAAAATGACCCACTCGAGCGGACCACTCAAAAACTGGGCAACAGCAATGGGAGCCAAAGCTCTACCAACCTGTAACAACCAAGCCCAACACATCCTAAAACTTAAACAAATGGAATTAAAGGACGACAATAAGATAGAGACAACTACTAACTCCACGGAACCGAGTCCGGAATGCAACAGAACAATAAAGGGAATACCGGAATCGCTATAATTGACAACAGTTTCAGTTGTTCAGAAGTATATGACGACAGACAACTAACTGTACTAGGCCCTAGAAGTTGAGAAAGGTTTCAGATGTTCATCTTGACTTGGATAAAGTTTTTTATAAGGCAGCACTGACATAGGTATCCATTCGTGCCCCACATTATTTGTCATCCAAGAGTTCAACCACCAAAATATTCATGAACACCATAGACATTATTCTTGTGCCTCTACATCCATGATTTATTGGCAGCCTTCTTTCAGATGGAAGCTGAAGTATCAACAAATCCAGAAAACAAACCTTTGATTTAGAGGCATATGTAATTACATCATAAAGTCAAACCAAGAAAAGATTTTAAAAAAGAAACCAAAAAAAAGGCATCTAAATATATATATATAATGTCTCTGATTATGATGAAAAATGATCAGCTTCTTGTTCCAGATTAATAAAAGGCATCAAGAAGCTCATGCTAGAATTTAGGCTGGTAAGAACAAACAAAAATAAAAATAAAAAGAAACAAAACAAAAAAAAAACACCTTTCAGCAGAATGTGGATGTACTTGTAAGTGAAATCAAAATGATTACGAAGAGTAATATTAAAAATAATAACCTGAAGTCAGATTGGGAGTGCAAAAGGCAACAATTGCTCAGCATCTCCATGAATTTATATTTTGTTCAATTACGATTGCCCAATACCCCTAATGTTTCATTCCATGTCAAATTCTTCTGATATAGCTAACAGGAGGAGAGCTTGATATTCAAGCCACTAGGGAATTTAGGCATTCTGTGACAACATTTTTTCTAAACCCAATTTCCTCCAATTTTTGCAATTTGTGCAGATTCAGTGCGTGCAGCTACTGCATTATAGACTCTAATAATGTGTCGCTTCCAAACACAGGCTTTAATTTGTTGGATGACTTGATTTTGATAGTCATGGGACTTTGTGGCTGCTGCAATGAAGGGACGATAGTTTCAAGCATGGGGCAACTCTCAAGAATCAAAGTTTCAAGTTGCTGGCTTCCACTGTATATGTTCTTCAAATCAACAACATTGGAAATCCATAAAGTCTGTAAACTTTCGGCCAATCTGAGAGTGTCTTCTAATTTCTGCAGTTTTGGACACTCCCATACTTTTAGAGTTTGTAGAGAGGTCAATATGCATCCAATGTTCGTTAGTTCTGGTAATTTCCACAAATATAATGTCTCCAGATTTTGCAATTCAGGCTCTGGAGATGATTGTTCAAATACTGTCTCCAATTTATCACAAAATCTGACTTGAAGAGCTTCGAGGTTTTCTAGCAGCTAGGATGACGAGAAAACCGTTGAAAGCTTAGGACAACAGTCAAGATATAGACATTTAAGCTTTTGAAAGCTCCGACAATGCACATTCCCACTGTGTATACTACTCAAATTTTTGGCATTTGAAATCCCTAAAATTTCTAACCCCAGTTCAGCGATATCATCTTCCTTTCCTGCTTGAAAAACACCCTCCATTTTTGTGCATCTCTCAATCCAATAGCCTTTGATTGCCTGAAGGCTGGAAACACCAATATCAGAAAACCATTTGTTGAATGTGTTATTGATAAAAAACACACAGTCAGCATTGCAGAGCACATCATCCCCTACACCACTGGGGAAAAGATCGAATCCATGTATCTCTAGTGATCGTTGCTCTTTAAAACGATCAAATTCTGCAGTCCGGAAGAGGATATCTCCGAAAATATGGTCATTTCTATAAGAATATGTATACCCATTCTTATTTTTCTCGTTGGTAGGATGGATACATAAATGAAATCGTGTCTCCAGTGAAGATGGGTTTTTCTTTAAAATTTGAAGAAACTGAATACCACTTATAGCAATGTGAGGATTGTCAAACCTAGACATACTCCACTGATAAGGATCCTCTACTTCTGGCAGGGACTTCATATTTCTGCTCTCAGCTCCTTGTATTTTTCCCGTGTGTGGCAGATCAAGGCACTCGAGATGAGTCAACTTTGAGATTCCATAGGGAAGCTCTTTAACAGTGGTCCCCAACAGATCAATCATTTCCACATGAATGAACCCTTTCAAGTTTGAACAACCCCTAAGGAGGAGCTGTCTGAGGTTGCTAAAATTCTCAAGGGCTGGTATATGAGTGACTGCTGTTCCAAAAAGATCCAGAACCTCAAGGCTCATGAGCACTTCCAAATTTGGCACTGTTTGTAAATGTTGACAACCTCTTATAGATAGCTGACGAAGGCTTTTGAGGTTTGACATGGATGGTAACTGTTCAATCTGGGTTTCAGAGAGGTCAAGAATCTAAAGGCGGCTCATGTGCACCAAAAAACCAGCCCCAGTTTCCTTCAAAGAGCTAACACCACATAAATTTAGCTCCTCAAGATTTGATAGAGTTTCTAGAGGTGGAAGTGCTTTCAAGTTAGTACATCTTTTAAGAGAGAGCACAGATAGGTTACTGTCACGCCCCACTTTTTATTACTCGAAGTATTACCAAATTCATTTACTTAATTCCATTTCAGAGATAACATGCGGAAATAAACTCATACATTCAATGAGAGAAAGAAAGTGTGAAAAGTGAATGACATGAGCATACTGAATAAAATGCCCGAAGGTTTACATCATTAAAGAATCAAGAAGAAGGGTGTAACCCTTTTACATATATGGCATTCCGCCAATACAAAAGAGGCCCCGTGGCCAACAAATAAGAAGATCCACATCTTGTAGCACATCCTGCTTAACACCTGAAAAAGATTCAACAACGTGGGATGAACATATAGTCCAGTAGGGATCTCAACATGACCCTCAACAATAACAACTTACAGATAGCTATGATCATGAATGCTCAATCGCATACTAGAATAGTAGTGTGACAGTTTATACAAAATATATATATGTATGAACTTTTCTCGAAAACAACCATTTCATTCAATGCTATAAATGATTCATCCTTCTTTTCCTTTCATTAAACCCCGTTCCCAATCTTTCATAACATTAACAATTTCTTAGGAAATAAATTCACTAAGTCCATTACTCTCTTCCATTTTTTTTCTCTTTTGTTACACATACTATAGATGTACCCTTTTCAAAACATGTTTCTAAAGTGTTCGATCTTCTTCACGTTACCAAAAGACAAAAGGCATTTTGGTTCATTCCCAATTCAATCATAACTATACATGCATAAGTTAAACCAATGAGGCAACTCGGCCCTCTAAGACTGTAACCAACACAAATCATGATGTTCTTAGATACACTGAAACAACAACAATAGCTAAACTTTGCTCTACTAGCTATGTGCGTAGTAAGCCAAAGATACACCTTTCACAACAACAAGCCAGTTTACCAGGCGCTAGCTGGAGGGGTATGGTACCTTCGATTATTAGCCAGACAGTTCTCCAGGCGCTAGCTGGAAGGTCACGGTACCTCTGATTAGTAGCGCAGGGTATAACACCACCAACCAAATGCAATAAGGCACAACTAACATGTATAACACATATACATAAACGATCCAGATACAAACAATGTGTTAAAGTATATGAACACATAACTACCTCTTCCCGAGCAAGAATACATATAAAATGTATCTCAACACTTCATCACATATGATGTTCCATCAACAATGGTATAATGCATGCACGACAATTCTACACAATCGTGTCATCCTCCACCGATGACCAAGGACAAAACCTCTAGATGCAAATATTTAGTACATCTATTAAGGACTCAACTACTATGAGACCACAAACCCAACAATGACATTAACATGGTAGTTAAAGCTACGATTCCCCACAAGTGTGTGTTCAACACTCAAGAAACAACAATCCAATTTTCATACGTATTTCAAAAAAATACTTTTCCCATTTCACAAAACAAGTTCCACTTCCCTTTTGTTTTCACAAAAACAACTCCGTCCCCTTTGTAGTCACAAAACCAAATCCATTCCTTTTGTTTTACAAAACCAATTCCATTGATAATAAAGCCATGACTCACATTAGTCCATTACATTCATTTCAAACCATTCCAAAGCCAAAGTTAACCCCTTAGGTATTAACACCTTCACCCAACCCTCATCAACAATAGAGATTTTCAAAAAATGTTCACTATCCTCCATTTTAATTTATCAATCAAAATATGATTTAGGGCTTTTTCTTCTATCAACTACAACATGCTAAGTTACACTCCAATTAGCCCAAAACAACCATCAATGATAACATAACCATTTTTCAAACACCCAACCCTAGGTTCCTTCTCATGATTTCAAACAAATCTAACATGGATATGATTTTCATGCAATACAAAATTACCACATGTCTATCTATAGACGAAGTATTGAAAAAGAACAAGGAAATCCCTACCTCAAATGTAGAACCCAAGAAGAAGATGGAGAATCTCGAAGTTGCTCCAAATCTCAAAATTTCCAGATCAAAACGAAGCCCTCGACGATCAACACACTTTTTACAAAGGCTCAAGGTAAGGAAAACACTCCTATTAGATCAAATCCTAGAGAGAAGTTAGGTTTTAGAGTGAGGAGCTCTCAAAAATCGATTTTGGGAAAGTAAGAGAGAGAAAGGAAATGTAAAAAGTGATTTAAAATAGCCTAGCTGTCAACTGATATATGACTCTCCCGCTCGAGCGGAGAACACAACGCTCGAGCATCAAGAATAAAAATCTAGGTACGCTCGAGCGCAATAAGGCCCGCTCGAGCGCCGACACACAAGAATAAAGTACATCCGCTCGAGCACGAAAACCAGTCCGCTCGAGCGTAGATTTCTTCCTCCCAGAACTTACACCAAAAAGTACAACCCGCTCGAGCGCTAACAATCCCGCTCGAGCGCGACCCGCTCGAGCACAAGAAATCAGCTCGAGCGTAGAAAACACATCTGCAGAAGTTTTGCAGAGGCACGAAATACTGAAACTGTGAAAACCCCGCTCGAGCGCAAGAAGATCCGCTCGAGCGGACCGCTCAAAAACTGGGCAACAACAATGGGAGCTAAAGCTCTACCAACCTGAAACAACCGAACCCAACTCGTTCTAAAACTCAAACAAAAGAGTTTAAAGGTTGACAACACGATAGGTACAACTACCAACTCCACGGAACTACGTCCGGAAAACAACAGAACAGTAAAGGGATAACCGGGATCGCTATAGTTACTCAGATTTGAAAGTTCTGGCAGGCCTATTATCCCACTGTTAGAGAGGTCGAGATGTTGAAGGTAAGACATCTGCTCAAAAGATGTATCTTTTATCTCTGTCAAAGCAATACAGCCCAATAATAATAGCTAACGCAGGTTGCAAAGATTGGAAACTGAAGGATGAGTTTTTATTCCAATTTCCGACAGGTTGAGAATTTGAAGAGAAGACAGATGGCTAAAGAATTGATCTTCAATTTCAACCAGACTTGAGGTACCTGAAAGATCAAGTACCCCGAGATCTTTAAGTGCTTCAATGCAAGGTAGTTTTTGTAGCCGAAGGCAATGTTTTATAAAGAGATGATGAGCATTAATCTCAAAAGGTAGTTTTTCTAAAGGAGTTTGTGATATATCAAGAATTTTAAGGCCGCTAGGAAGTTTTTGTGGCTGCTCATGGAATTCCTTACACTTTATAGCACCTGAAAGATTAAGAGTTTGGAGACTAGTTAGTGAATCAGTTTTGGGCAGTCTATCTAAGAGTTTACAGCCACGTAGTGATAGATGAGTAAGCTGTCCAAGATTTTGAAGTTTTGGTATCCTGTTAATAGAGGTATGTGAAAGATTAAGCGTCTAAAGTTTTGGAGTGTGTCGAAAGGTTTTGTTGATAAAATTTGTCAAAGATGTAGCACCTGAAACATCAAGCACCATGAGATTTTTGAAAATTTTCAAACTGTTTACTGTTTTGAAGGAAGAACACCCTCTAAGAATGAGCCAGCGTAATTCTTTAAGGTTGTAAAGAGATGAAGTAAAGGATTAACCTTCAATTCAGATATATGCAAGCTTTGAAGTTGGAGCATATGTGCAAAAAAATCATCTGGAATTCTTTTCAAGGAGCTAGGATTAGATATCTCAAGAACAGTCAATCTCGTAAGTTTAAACTTGTAGTCCATCTCCACCAAAAAATCACAACCTCTAAGAACAAGCACAATGAGCTGGCGCATTTCAGACGAGAGTTGTGTCAATGATTTGGAAGTCGGGTTGAAAAGGGCAAGAACTTGGAGTTTCTCCAACCCAGAGAGACTATCAAGGATTTCCAGACAACGATTTCCATTAAGAAAAAGCGTTTTAGTTGAACAAACTGATTTTATCATTCCATCTGCTTGATTGATTCTCCCAAAGCCTTCCCACTTACAATCCTCATACAAATCAGCCAAGCCAAGACTGGCTGTCCCCTCACAGTCCTCAAACAGATCAGCCAAGCCAAGACTGGTGGTCCCCTCGAATCCATAGCGATCAAACTCATCCAAATTTATGATTGCTTGGTCACTGTCCATGATAACATAACCACTATCTAGTTTTTTCAGCAATTGGCAATCCACAAGCTCTATGAAAACAGAATGGCCCTTTTCATATGCCTTCTCCATACAATCAACATGCCCAAGGTATCCTTCCAATATCTAGTAAGCTATCAACTCACTGTAATGAATGCTTCCACGGTCACGAAAGAAGCGACTACCATGCTGACAACAGTCAATTAAAACACTCCTTGGCAACATGCCATACCCACTGCGTAGTAGCCATGCTAAATTATAGTTTTTACCATCAGATTCAGATGCTTCCTTCAAAGCACTCTTAAGCATCTGTGTTCCAGAATCACATTGAACAAAATAATTGAAGGCTTTTGCCATCAACATAATTGCAGCAGGAAAATATTTTGTCTCTTCTATGAAAGTTTCGGCTAAATCTTGAATGACTGGATCTTCATAAACTCTTCTCCCAACCCTATCTCAAAATAAGGACAATGACTCTTCCACAGACAAGGGCTCCACCGGAATCTCCTCTTTGGATCCCGTGGGAGCATTTGTGCTAGTGACTAGAACCTTGTATGAACTTACATTGGGAAGATTCAGCAGAAGTTCCAATTTGGGCATTATCTGTCCTTCCTTCATTTTGTTTCCCTCATCATCCAAAATTAAAAGAACCTTCTTCTTCTCAAGGGATTTAGCTATCATCATTTGCAAGTCTACATGGTTCTCCTCCTCCTCTTTCCCCTTATTGCTATCCTCAGCTTCCCACTCGTGAGCAATGGGAAAGAGAGACAATTGATGAGTAATACTCTCACTAAGAGCTGTT